TGATTTATTTAATTTTGTATTTAGTCGAAACTAATTATTAACTTATTATTAAGTTAATTTGTTACAAAGTTATTCTTTGATTACAGCAAATTCTCATTCCTTATATACATGTTTGATTATATGTATCCTAGTGAGGATAATTAGCCTAGATTAAGATATTTATCCTAATTCAAGATAATTCTCTCTTTCTAGGATAATTATCCTTCTTTGTACACAGGATAATTCTCCTAAGATATATATCCTGATTCAGGATAATCTTCGTTATTTCTACTAAATAAAGGTCTAATGCGAACGTGTTACTAATTGATTAATTCTGCGGAATGTAACACGAACTCATATAATTAAATTAAATCATTTGGAAATTATTACAAAATATAAATAGAATAAAATAAATTAAAAACAAATAATAGATGAAATAAATAATTAAAAATAAATAATGAATACTAAAAATAATAAATAAATAAAATAAATAATATAAATAATATAAAAATAATATAAAAGATTACTCCGGATTTTCGGGGTTATTGATCAGTGAATTAAAGGTCCAATTCGCATTCCGGTGACATTAGTATATGCCTTTATATAGGCAAAGAAAAATATGAAACATTAGCAACAGTTTGTAAAATATTTGATTCACAAATAACTTCTCTTAAAGCTCATGGTATTATTGATAATGACAATATACACTGGCCAGTTGAATTTGGGTCTAATTCATTTCATCGACAATCATTTCGTCAACAATCATTTCATCGACAATCACTTCATTGACAATTATTTCATCAACAATCATTTCACTGACAATCATTTCATTGAAAGTTCATTTCATCAACAGTTTATTTTGTTGACAGTTCATTTCTACAACAATTCATGTTAATTTGCATGTATTACAGTGTCAGCAATTATGTTTGGAAAAGCGTGAATTCATTGATGATAACAATTGTTTATTATGTTTATGTGGAATAGGTTTACTAACAAATTAATTTAATTAGTGGATAACTTTGGTTTTAAATGTTTATTTATTTTATTTAGTCAAAAATAATTAAAGATTTAGAGCTATGTTTTAACACAAAATATTTTAATCCATGATATTATTATTAAAGTATACTTTTGTAATTAAAGCACAAAATTCATTTGATAGCTTTATTGTAAGGTTTCTGGTCTAATATACCTACTTCTATATAAAAAACGTTGAAAAACCCAAATTGACAAAATAGTTTGAGCTTTGAGAAACAGTTTGGGCTAGAAACCTTATTTGATTGTCAGACCCATTTAATCATACGATTTTAATAATATCAAAAACTAATTTTCAATTTAATGATTTAGCATAGCATATGCATTGCACTGTTTAGTATCTACTACTACCATTTAATTTATTTATTATTAGTATAATTTGCATTTGTATGATTGTAATTAAGAAAGAAAAATTCAGGTAAAATCAGAGTGCTAATTAGTTTGCAAGTATACGAATGACTCAAATTTATGTATCATGAAAGGAATATTACCAATTTGTCTGATCCACACACTCTACTAAAAAACAATAATTATTATCAATGCTAAAATATTCAATGTCGATATTGTTGCCATCACTATCATCACCTCATTCATCATTAGTACAACACATAAGCCAACAAAATAATTTTCAACAAAATGAACTGTCAACGAAATAATTTTCAATGAAATGAACTTTCGATGAAGTGATTGTTGACAAAAAGATTGTTGATGAAGTGATTGTCAATGAAGTGATTGTCGACGAAACAATTTTCAACGAAATAATTTTCGACAAAATAAACTTTCGACAAAATGAACTTTCGACAAAACAAACTTTCAATGAAATGTGTGTCGACAAAATGATTGTCAACAAAATGATTTTTGACAAAGTAAATGGGACTGTTGAATTTTACTTCTCTGGTGATTGGAAATTTACATCAATTATTATGGGTTTTAAATGCACCAAATTCAACATATTTCTGCTTATATTGTGAGTGTAATTCCAAGACCAGATATAATATGGATCTTTCTTGGCCAATTACAGGAAATAATAAAGGTGAAATCATATTTTGTGGTTTTTTTTCTTATTTATGGAAAATAAAATATAATAATTTATTTATATTTATTTATATAATCAGGGAAGAAAAATCCTTCATTGTTCACTTCAATTGAATTACTTAATTATGTACCTGATGAACTACACATTTTATTACGAATAACAGATGTATTAATGGAGTGTTTGTTCAAAGATCTGTTTAAAAAAAAAAAATAGAGAAAAAAATGAGTCATATTGTGAGATAGTAAAATATGGACCGATAGAGAGGTCCCACGTTGCCGATCCAACCAAACCAAATTATTGCGGAAGTCACGTGAAAATGATATCATTTCTATTTTTATTTTTAATATTATATTTTGCGAAACTACTGCGCAATGTGTGGCGCAGTATCACACGTACGATTATTAATATTCATATTTCTATATTTATATTTTCAGCTGATGTAAAAATTTACTTTAAATTATTAATTATTATTTGTAATGCTCAGTTGACCCAAATATTTATTTTATCAATAAGCATATTTTTATTGGACAAACTAGAGTAAAAGTCATGTTATTTGTAATACCCCAAGAGGTATAAAAAGACTTGGTTTTAGACCAAGTCAGAATCATCATGTTCATAACAATCTTTTAATTATTGATCTAATAATTAATATTTCCTAACACATTGTAATAATAATATTATCGCTAATAAAACACATAACATATTTTACCCTAAAATAATAATCTCTAAAATAATTAATAAACCACAAAGGGGAAACCTTTGCTACCCATAGCAAGTAACCAAAATTCTAATTATTAAGATACATCTCAAGGGGACGCCTTTGGAATATAATTACATATATAGAACCTAAGGACCCTTTTATCTGAAAAGATAAAAGTTATATTTTATTGATTTTTGACTGTAAGTCAGCGAGTAGGCTGTGTGTCAAACAATAGAATCAACCATAAGTCAGCAAGGAGGCTGTGTGTTGAGCTATAAATAACCTATTAATTAGGAAACTCAGATTGCACGCTTGCAATATAAATGTTCATTTTGAGTTTTATCATAGTAATAATAATAGAAGTGCTTCTTGGACTTGGAGATCTTTAATGGACCTGAAAAAAAGAAAATTCTTCAGAGTTTTCCTGTGAGTGAATTTGTGACTGGAAGTCATGGAATTGCTATAGAAAATTTATGGTGTCAATTTTTTAATTTGTATACAATGAAGAAGATATAATCAAATTTGAACTTGAAGCCAAGAACTGGGTGAGATCTTTTTGTCAACCTACATTAGGCATAATAAATTCTACATCAGCAATTCCAGGGCTTTATAGAAAGGAGGATGTTACTCCATATATGCATATTCTTACAATGCATGTGCCTTTTTTTTTGCGTAATTTAAACAACCAAGGTCTTTCATTTAGATTATTTTCAACAAGTAGCATTGAAAAAAAAAATCATGAACAAGTATATATTTCATTTTTAAAATTGTAGCTTTTAGACTCTTTAATTATATTTTTTTTAATAATTCTTTTATAATATTTTTTTACCAATTTTATCAGGTCAAGTTGTTTTTTGGTGGCACTACAATGGGAGGTGGTAACAAAACAAAGCCTGTTGTTTATGATATGATGGTATTTGAAAATAGGCAAATATTTTATTTGCTTAATAAAGCTCCAAAAGAAATTACATGTAAAAGTATCACTATATCTAATGATTAAAAAAAATTTAATAAAATTATATTTTGTTTAAAAATTATTAGAGGTTTGAATGTTTTGATTTTCAATAGTACATAAGGAAAACATGGTAAAGTATCTCTATGTTGTGACTTTGTGATGGTTGATGGCTGATTATGTGAATGAACAGTAACTGGTTGGAAATATGCATTATATACTTTATGTAATTCATGATTATGGTTGATTGATTGATTGTTGGATGATGATATAGCAAAATTTTCTGGGAATTGCTATTTCTCACTGGTGGTGATTGTCACCACCTAAGGAATTATACAATTTATGATTAACACCAACCCTAACTCCGCCCCACGCAAATTTAATTCCTTAGGTGGTGACAATCATCACCGGTGAGAAATAGCAATTCTCAAATTTTCTTGACTAAGAAAAAAAAATTTTTTAAAATTGTTTAAATTGAATTAAATAAAATATTTTATTGAATATTTACTCATTTATGAATTCTCCTGAATTACAAATAAAACTTATTGAAAAAGAACCAGATAAAAAAAGGGCCAAGTTATCTCTAAGTTCTTTTTGCTTCCAATTTAGTTTAATTTTGTATTTTCCATCAATGTCTTCAAGTAACACATATCCAATAGTTTGAGTATTTGTATTCATTTTGGAAATTAATTGATCATAGCCAAAGATGCTTTCCAATCTTTCACCACCTGCTACACCTTCTAAAATACATTGATATTTATGCTAGTAGGTCGCAATATATATATATTGCGACCTACTTGCGTTAGACTGTTACCTACTTATGATTAGACTGTTACCTACTTATGATTAGACTGTTCCCTACTTATGATTAGACTGTTACCTACTTACGATTAGACTGTTACCTAAGTATTTTTGGGTACCCGTTTTGGCTTGATATTCACGAATTCATCATCATTTGGGTTACGAATTCGTCGTCATTTGGGTTATGATTTGACCCACGAATTCGTTGTCGTTTGGATGACGATTGATCCACAAATTCGACGTCATTTAAATGACGATTGATCGAAAAAATCGGTCTCCGTGATTTCAGTCTCCGCCATGTAACATTCATGATCATCGTCAACATGTGTAGACGGTCGCCTATAAGTACCACTCTTGGAAAATACCATATCTATGCCCGAACCAGGTACGTAGTGCCTTAGCTTTCTGGTTAATTCCTCTATGAGGGCCGGGTTTGAGGCATGTAGTGCCGAAATAGTATTCATAATCTTTATATGGTGCATTTGAATACCGATTAAGGATGAGGCACGTAGTGCCGAATTGTTATCCTATTTGGTAACCCGAGGATGAGGCACGTAGTGCCGAATCGTTATCTATTATGTTATCTTAGAATGAGGCACGTAGTGCCGAATCGTTATCCTATTTGGTAACCCGAGGATGAAGCACGTAGTGCCGAATTGTTAACATATCTGGTAATATATCAAAGTATCCGATGATGAGGCACGTAGTGCCGAATTGTTATCTATTATATTACTCGAGGATGAGGCACGTAGTGCCGAATTGTTATCATTTTGGTAGACACCCAAAGCATAATTTGTATAATATATATATACCTGTAATAATTTTACTTTGGGTGACTACCGCCAGTATACTATATTTTGTGATCCTGGAAATCTTTCTTGCATAGTTAATACTTTCGAATATCGATCAAAAATGAGGCACATAGTGCCGAATTGTTACCCACTTGATAGACGTCCAAAGCATAATTTTTTATAATATATATCTGTAATAATTTTACTTTGGCCGGCTATCGAAAATACGCTATGTTTTAAATCTCTAGAATCTTTTCTCGTGTAGTTGATATCTTTATACTGATAAACGTCCAAAGCATAATTTTATTTATATATATCTGGTAGACGTCCAAAGTATAACTTTATTTTGTATATATTTGGTAGACGTCCAAAGCGTAAATTTATTTTGTATATATCTGATAAACGTCCAAAGCATAATTTTACCTTGATCAAAATTACGCGACACAAAAATGGTCATCTATTACATACCTTATATATGCATTTTATTTTGTAACACGATCTCTTACCTGGAAGCGTACCTTGATGGAAATTTCCCGACACAAAAACCCTCATATATGATCTAGCTATCGAAGTATTAATTTTTGATTTAAATTTTTCTAAATGCTTATTGTAAGAGGCGACAAAAACCCTTACCTGAGATATATATCTAGTCGAATGTAGCAATCTCTCTTCTTCAGAAATTACTACTTAACTAGATGATATTGTCTTAGTACCTTAGGCTTGCTTTATTAAAAGATTTATAACGATTATGCATATTCAATGATTGCTAGAGATTTATTTTTCAGTTCTTTTTTATGCGGAGTAGTAGGGACCTTCATTTTAGCCTCAAAATTTCGTTTATGTTCTAGAAAATCAATTTCATTCATGCTTTTGCGCTCTTTTTTCCAGTAACTGGTATTATCCCGAAATTCAAAGGTAATCTTTCTTCTCCATTGATCTAATTTTTCTTGAGACATTTGATATTTTTGTTGTAAAAGAAGGATAAGGATATCTATATCAGATTCGTTTTTGATGAGATATTCTGAAGATAAAGAAATTTCTGGAGGCAGACGCTTCGTGATTAAGGGTTCAAGTATCTCTTTCTTAGTTTCAGTAATACTTGAGAATTGCTCGAAATCATTTAATTGATCTTGAGTTGATATCGTAGAAGGCGATTGAAGTAAATTTGTCATGGATTCCTCAATTACATTATGGCAAGAACTTTCTTTACAAACCTCATTAATGGATGATGTAGAACATCGAAGCTTTGCTTCCTCTGAAGTGGTAATATCAGTAGTTGGTATTGAATCAAAAAGTTTTTGAGTTTCATCAATCGGTTCTGGTTTGTATGGTGGAATAATTGGAGCTATAGGGAGATATTTAGAATTATTAACCTTTATAGCCCTTATTTCTTCTAGAGTTTCAAAACCACATCCATCATATGCTTTATGATCAATCCAATAAGTGCGCTTCCGTACTTGATGCCCCTTGGAACCTACACGAGTTTCATCACTTTTGACAGTATATCCACACCAATTTCCAGCTATTGCATTAATAAACTTTATTGTAGCATTGAGATCGGGTGTTCCTTTAGCTCTGGTCTTAAAGCCAAAGAGTAATCGTGCATCTTCTCGAATTTTGACAACTTCTTCACATGATTGCTCAAAAGCCTTTGCCACATCATCGCCAGAAAGAATCTTTGTATCATCAATACCGCTAAATCCTATTGATTGGAAAAGATCTCGTACTGCCTCCCATTGTTTTACTGAATAAAATTTATGTAAATCGTTTGAGGCCGGATTCATAGAATCTTGTGATTCTTCCCATTGCATTGCTTCTTTGATTTTCAGATTTTCCAAAGCCTTTACTTCATCTGAACCTTGTCTTCGATAATATGCCAGCCTCCTAAAATGTTGTAAAGGTTCAGGATTATTATATCTTTTCACGAAATCTATATCACAAAGTTTGATCCAATCATCATTATTCATACCCCAGTTTCGAATATCATCCTTACCTCCAATATCGCCTGAAGCATATGTTCTCCATAAATAATGTCGTTGCAGGGTCATGTTATCAGCAAAAGAACGTTCAGGATTTAGCTTAAGCATTTCAGCTTCATTAGGATTGATATCTGGAGCATTGACTATTAATTCTGCATCAGAACTTTTGATCCTTTCTTCAGTATTCTTAATAGTATGAAATACTTCTGTACGAGAAGCTTTGGCTAATTTGGTATCTTCTACTGTGATTAATTCTAGCGATGCTCCAGTACTAGCAATCAAACTACAAAGAATTTCCGGAAAATATTTGGCAGATAAGCGTCTCTGATATTCAACCTCAATATAGGTTTCTACTGCCGGAGATGAATCAAGTATATAACAGTCAGCGATTTTGTTCCATTCACGGCGCCCCTTTATTGCAGTTGGTAAATCTCCAGGTCTTAAGGCCGAAAGTTCTGCACGAATAAGGTCACGATTTGGTTCTTTAAAAATCTCAGAATGTGTTTTACTATTGTAAAGAGAAACAATACGATACGGGCAATCGCGAGTTCGATAAAGCATCTGAGTAAATGCTTCAGCGTGTACTCCTGTATTAATATTACTAATTGCTATAACTGCATCAAAATAGTTAGGAATTTCGAACGAGATGCCTGACTCCACAGTACTTGTATAGATTACACAATCAAGGCCACTCCAGGTAGCATTAATATCAGCAAAGTCATCCTGGCGTTGTTTTCCATCCATTTGACTAAAATAAACTCGTGATAAAACACATGAACCGTCCGGTTTTTGCAACTTGGATGCTTGATTAGCTATTGCCCAAGCCTTTTTGCAGGAGGTCATTGAAAAGACAACACGCTTACCTTCTTTAAGCATCTCAAGACCTTTACGTATAGCTTCTGAACCTTTATTTGAATCATAAAGGATTTTTACGGTCTCACTTTTACATGGCTGATACTTATTATCAAAAACTCGGATGTTTTCACCCCGGTATTGTCTTAAGAAGGCTAAAGTCGACTCATTTGCAAAAGCATCCATGGCAACCACGTGAACAGCCGACTTTAACAAATCCCGCATGGCATTTTCAGATTCTCGTGCATGGATTCCACTTGCCATTTGACGCATAATACCATTCGCTTCATCTAAAATAACTACATGAGAACGACCCCCATGGAAATTAAGACGATGTGTACTTTCGACCTGAACAATAATAACATCCCAGTCACGTATAGCTAAATTACCTTCATTTTCCTGATAATGGCACACACGAAGCCCGGATTTCTGTAATACTTCGATTTTACTTTTAGTTTCATTACTAAGAGTTTTACGATATGAAACCCAGTTAAAACAAGGTAAATCCACTCCACTTTTAGCTAAAGAATCGAGGATTTCTCTTAATGTTTTTGTTTTGCCACTAGCAACAGGTGAGCGAATAAGAGTTGTAGTGAGTTCCTCGCTTAAGAAATCAGGGTAAGCTTCTGGTGCATCTTTCATTTCCTTTACATTAATGATTTTCCCAGATAATTCTACAAGTGGGCGTGGAGTTGATACAGCCTTGGGTAATCTTTCAATTAATCCCCACTTAGGCTTTTCTTTCGATTCGACTTTATCTGATACCTTTTCAAAGCTTAATCCCTTATGATCTGGCTTATATTGTTTTTGTCGATAGCACTTAAGTATAAAACGCCCATTTTTTCAAATGAATTCATAGAGTTGATCCTTATCATGTTTAACGTCACATATAGGGCATTCTTTAACGGATTGTGCTTGAAAGTTAACGAATCCTTTCTCAGTTCTTCCAATCTGGAGCCACCCATATTTTTCAATAACCATATTAGCCCCATTCACCAAAGCATTTTCATCATCGATGGGTTGGAATTCTTGTTTTACTGGCTCCTCTGGAGAGAAGGTTCGTGGCCAGATTTCAGAAATATCAAACCTAGGTTGAACTAGATAATCTTCTAGCTTACGATATCCTTTCTTAACTGAAGAAATTGTAGGTCTTTTAATTCTATCACCCTTTGCCGACCCAAGAAGACGAAGACTGAAGCGAGATTTATAGAGTCCTATATCAATAAATTCTGAGTATGGCTTTCCAATCCTATTAGCAACTTTTTCCACAAAACCTTTAAGATCTCTATAGTCAATAAAACAGGCATGGGGATATACAATATGCCAGCTACATTTATTGGCATTAGACGAACTAGCTAAGGCAAAATCATTTAAAGTTATGTGGTGTTTTAAATCGGTATATATAATATCGGCACAGGCAATTAAGATCCTGGATAATAAATCTTCACGAGAAATTTTATATCTATCTAAGGAAGGGAGTTCAGAATTCATGGGATCGGGGTACTGCCTTGCATCGATGTCCAGAACTGGGTGAAGAGGTAGACTTCCATCAATACATTCGTGGGTGTCGGGTAACCCATAAACTTTGGATGGATGATCAACTATAGTAAAACCCTTTTCTGCCACTCGAATTATATATTGGGAATAAAGCTCTTCGGGTTTGTATACTTCCAAAAGTGCAGTATCATTTCCATCGGATTTAAGCCAATATTTATGATACGTATATTTTTCATGGTTAGGTTTATAATCAAGATTCGTTAAACCTGTGAGAAGCTTTTTTACCACTTTATATTCAGCCGATTTTTGATTTAACTGCTGTTGTTGTAATGATTCACGAAGATGTTTTTTTGATTCACTAGATAAACTCATTTTATTGATTTGTATATATGCGTTGTTTGATCTGACAAAAAGTATATGTATTATTATTTTGAAACTATATTAATTGGTAGATAAATCTTTAAAATAAAAATAATTATTTCAGAAATTTCAGCCGGACATCAAAAAAATATAAATTTGATTGAAGTAATTATTATATATAATCACGATGACATTATACCATTGCTCATATATTCATAGAACTGGAAAAATCTGTGGTCAAGGTAGTTATAAATCAGAAAGATGTCATATTCATCGTAAATCTCCAGTACGTACTCCTTGTAGAGAATGTGGTGAACTAAATAGATCTAAACATAATGCATGCGATAAACATATAGGCAAATATAAAAGTAAAGAGAATTATAACAGAAAAAAGCAGGATAAATTGTGTACAAAAATTGCTATGCTTGAGAATCATATACCTGACTTGCCCGATTCTAGACATGAAGTATAATCATGTGCTTGGCATATATGAATAATTTTTTCCAGGACCTTTTTGAGTAATGCTATATCTTCTTTGATCCCATTGATATTCTCATTAATTTTATTACATAGAGCTATAGATTCCAAAACCTTCGATCTATTCAGTGTTTTGCTCATGTCCATTTTCCGGTATAATTACATTAACCGCAACCCATTCAATTTTTGGGTATAGCTATACTAATCCGTGGATGGGCATAGCCCAGTGTCTTCGACACATAATTAATTTCGATTTGAAAAAATATTTTCCATAGTTATAGTCCACACAATTATACCATAACAACAATGTCGAAAGTAGCTACAAATTTCGTAAATCAGTATAACTTAACTCCTCAGATGAGTATAGCTGAGCTTGGTAATTATACTGAAAAAATATGTAAAGATTTAAAAGATTATAAAGCTCGTAATCACGCTCGAAATAGAATCCAGAAGTTAGGATTTAGTAAAGATCAAACATATACTTTAATTCCTATCCAGACTTCCGGAAGACGTGTTATAGGACGAGATCCAATTAAAAAGCTCGCTCAATATATCAAGGAAAATGAAAATAATCTTGAGCCAGAAGAAATAAATACACTAGCATCTAACTTCAGGATCAAGAGCTGGATTGTTCCAAATATCTTCCAGAGCGTTAAAAATTTCCTTTACAACACCCACAATTTTTTCTTCGGGTTCTTTCCACGTTCCATCATGAATCAACTTTTCCGGAAATCTATTCAAATAATTACGGCTAGAAAAACTTGATACAAATTCTCTGCAAATTTCTTTAACTCTTGGCATAAGCGTAGGTTTCATCAATCGAGCTGGTTTCTATAAAAATCATTAAAATGAATAAAATACACCACATAATATAATATCTTTACGGAAAATCAGATTCACGTGAAAAATATTTACACACCATAAATGCTTTTTTTAAATTCGTAGGTAATTGTTGTACAATGTTTGACTCGTCACTAATAACTTGGCTAGCCAAGGGGTCCTTCCAAGTTAATTCACGGATAGAGATCTTATTAACATCAGAGTGTAAACGCAGATATAGTGGGGAAGTATCATTTCCAAGTTTCCTCTTCAAGGCATTTACATTATTTTTAATCTGATTTGAAGTAAGCGGTTTTTCTTTATCAGTTTTTATCGCCCCCATATCGTATAAGCTACATACCCCCTCAAAAGCATTATCAAACTAATGAAAAAATATGATGCGTTAGTTTTTTTTTCAGAAATATAATAATTTTCGTCATTAAAAAATATTATCAGTGCATATGCAAAGTTAACATCTTTGTGTGGCCATCACGCCGATGAAACTTTGTGTGATACTAAATAACTACATAAATAATTTATACCTTAACTCACCCCGGCCATGCAATAACCTTTTCACATAATAGGTTAGTAGAGTGAACTACAATACTGCATAACAGTCTATAGCTTATACACTCCTCTATTATATGCAAGTATTATTGGGGCCGATTAATGGGTGAGAAAAATATAAACACCAAACTAAAATGATATTCAGGACTCGCTTTGCGAATATATCACACAGTATCATCATATAAAAACCTGAAATATCTGTATAAAACTTAAACTAACCTCTGAAGAAATTCGTAAAATTCTCAAATGGCGGGATGAACCTTCCACATATGCATTTCTGGCAGAAGTTACAGCTCGATTTATAGTCGATCTTAATTCATTTTTTGGAATCCAACGGTCTTCTTTCATTCCGAGATAAATAACGGATGTAGCATTTATCTGACATTCTTCAGCATTTCTCAAGAATACATAAATCTCGTTGCACAATTCAATAGACATTTTACAAGAAAGGTATAAAGAAAAGTAATATTTGTTAAATCGAAATTGCAACAAGTATAAAAATCACAAAAATAATAACAACTCGCTATACTGTCCTTTTAAACGGTTTTCGCATTTCCTCTTTCTGGCGAACAGGGAAAATCGATTTCTGGAAAATAGATAAGGTATGAAGAAAAAAATTTGTATGAGGTAATCAAATTTGGTTTATCGTGAAAATCAGATCATCTCCACAGAAAAATTATTTTATTCTTGTTATCAGTTGATCGAATGTCTGCGGCACACAAATGATTTTATCCATTGAAAAAATTTTCGTATAATACACAGCTCCATTACAGTCAAGGAATATTACAAATATGGAATTTCTAAATACTGCAATGATCCACTTTCTAGAATTTCAATAGAATGCAATAACAAATTATGTTACACATGTATTAATATAAATATTATAAATAATTATAAAAATTTATAATATTTATTTGCAAAAAAAAATTCACTTAAAATATATGAATAAAGTATAATTTATATCTTTTTTTTTTTGTATTCAAATTTTTATTGAGTTCTACAAAATGAGTTAATTTAAATTAATATTATTATATAAAAAATATTAACAATGAATTTTTTTACTTCTCTGTTTAAGTTTTCCTTGGTGCCATAAATCTTCTTGAGTCATTTATTCTGCATCAGTTTCATCAATCCCATTATGAAGATCTTGAACTTGTTGAAAAATTTGTAATAATTCATCTTTTTTTTTTGATTTAAGTCCTTTGAATTGTGGTCGATTAGCTTCATTTAAAGATTCAATTAATGCCTGAATTACACATATTAGATCATTGTTTGACATTGAGCTAGTTGCTGATTGTTTTTCCTCTTCTTCAATAGTGACAGGAATGGGGCGAGTATTTGGCAACTTATCTGAGGTTAACTTTTTTTTAATGAAATTCTGACGATAGAAATGAGCTGTTGAACTAAATGTTTTCATTGCATTACTTAATTCAGTATGCCCATCCAAACCTTTAAATGTAAAATTATTATCTGATGGATTCAAGAAATGTGACTTTCTTAATTCAACATGAAAATGTTGTGATTCTTTAATAAAATCAGGAAATGATCTAGGACCACTGCTTTCTTGCTCAGAATACTCAATTATGTCAAATATTTTTTTTCTAAGCTAAAAAAAAAAATAATTAATAAGTATTGAGATTATTATAATTTTTCTATCATTGATGAAATTATAATATTAATGCTTACACTCATAATTTTGGTACAATTTCTAGCAGCAATCTCCCAATGTTTTTGAGTTGGTACAGGAGGAATAAGTGCTTTAAGAGACTTGTTTATTTCTTCAAGTATGGCATCTAATCCCTGATGCTGGTTTGACCATCCTGAACGAGATACAACTGAATTTTCCTCAATAAGTTTTTTTATTTCAGGTCAGACACACATTAATTGTTCTTCATCAGCAACTTCAATTGATTGATAAATTGGATGTCTCCGAGCAGACCAAATTGGAGCAAAAATCCTATGGGCAGCTGCTTTAAGTGAAGGATTATTTGTTCAAATACTTTTACGAAAATTAATAATTGCTTGTAAGTACCAAAAAAGTCTAAATTCGTGGTCCACCGATCAACGATAGATTTTTAATATGTAGATCCGGGATATTAAACATATTAAAAATTGGTTGATGATCAAAACCAAAACTACCCATTTTTATTTTAAAAAAAATATATATTCTATTACTTTATTTTTTTAAAAAAACTCTTAAAAAAATAATAAACTGTTTATTTTATAATTTTATATCTATAAATTCTATAAAAACTTATTTCAATCATGAATAATTTATCTGTGCAATTATTATCTAGTGGTATTATTGATCCTGATTTACATTATGGAGTA